ACCACGAGTAAGAAGACAACGAGAAATATACCAAAAGACACAAAGATTTAATGTGGTTCGGTCAATCGACCTACGTCCATAAAGGAGATGAGCAATCCATTATAAATATGAGAGTACAAAATACAGAGAGAAATAACCTCAACCAATTCACTCAGAATACATGGGAAGCTCACACAAGTGATAACGTATCAAGCTTATAACCCACAAATTCTCCCTCTAATCAAAACTCTCAAAGCCCTTAAGACTACATTGTGAATGCTAATTAAGTTAGAAGGAATATGCCTGTATTTATAGAATCCTAAACCTTTCCCTACAAGAAAAGGATTAGTCAATCCAAAACTTTTTCCTACAAGGAAAACCTATTTATGGTAAGAAATTTAGGGCAAATAAAACCCAACAAGTATGACTATTTGTTTTTCTCATAAAATTACTAATTGATTGTTAGTTTGTTGGTAATATATCATTCAAGTTTAATGTTAGGTTAATATTGATTGACAATATGTTTAATATATTATTAACTGAATGATTATTCAATAGTAAAATATTTATTAATTTATTACATTAAAAAATCTAAGAGCATGAATATAAATTCAAAAATATTAATATCAATTTATAAATCATATTTGAATAAAACAATGTAATCTATGATAACATGTTAAATTAATCTCAATATGACACATATCGTTATGTCAAAAAATTTAATTTCAGAGTTTAGAAAAATTATTGACCAACTCTAAATTTTGGCCAAAAATTAAAAATTAAAACGTCTAACAGAACAAACTACAATAGAAGCCTCAAAACCTAAACCGGCCGTCCTATTAGATATAAAAATGACCTTTCGAAACTAATCGCCCTGGCATAATTCTCATCAGAGCACGTTTGCAAAAAATGTTAAGCGAAATCAAATTTTGGCCAAAAATTAAAAGTTAAAAGGCCTAACAATATAAACTGAATATGAAAACCTAAAAATGCAAACCAACCATCCTATAAGACGAAAAATGACATTCAAAAGATTACCGCGTTGTTGAAAGTCAAATTTGAGCATGTTTCCCAAAAGAATTGACTTGATACAATTTTTTGTCAAAAGTTAAAACGCTTAACGACACGAACTGAAAATAAAAGTCTTAAAATCTGAATCAACCATCCTATGAAACCAAAACTGAATTCATATGGCTAATTGTGGTGATAAAATTTCAATTCGAGCACGATTACCAAAACTATTGATTAAAGTAAAATTTAGGACAAAAGTTAAAATTCCTAACGGCACAGCAAAAAACGGAAGCCTCGTAACTCGAACTCTATCTTATTGCATAAAAATTAAACCTTCTACATCTAACAACACTAACAAAATTCTCATATGAGCACATTTATCAAATATAATGACCAAAGTTAAGTTTTGATCAAACTTTATCAGATAAAACACCTAACGACACACACTAAAATGAAAGTCTTAAAACCTGAATTAACCATCCTACTAGATAAAAATGAAAGCTTCAAAACTTGAACCAACCTTCCCATTAGATCAGAAATGACCTTTCGAAACTAATGACACTCTCAAAGTTTCAATTTGAGAACGTGTACCAAAAATATCGAATAAAGTCAAATTTTGGTTAAAATTTTAAAGTTAAAACGCTTAATGACACAAACTAAATATGAAAGCCTTATTACTAGACAGGAATTTACCCAAAAATATAACTTCATTGGTGAATTTACCAACTATTCAAAAATAAGTTAGTTATCAACAATTTACCAATATATTTTAGAGAGAATGCACAAGTGACCCCCTAGACTATTACTGAAATTTAAAAGACATACATTAACTAAACTAAGGTCCTATTACCCCCTAAAATATTATTTTTTGTAATTATATACATCTTTTGTCTAACGAGGCACACTCCAAGACCCCACGCAATTGAGGTGCGTGGGAGATATTTGAATGTCACGTAAGCCAAAAAGGTACACAAAATTATATAAAAAATAAATTCAGCGGGATAATAGGACCTTATTTTAATTAGTTAAGGTGTGTTTCTAGGATTTCGGACATTGTGTAGGAGAGTACTTGTGCATTTTCTCTAAATTTTATCATAATTGGTAATAGTTACTATTCGACTAAACATGGATATGTAATATTACCAACTAATAATTAATATGTTGATAAATTTTAACGATGGATAAATGGTCGATTGGTATATTACCAACTAATTCGATGATGTTGATAATTACTAACTACAATATTTATTCGTCGATAAAATTTCCAACTAATTAAATATTAATTGACAAGTGAACCAATAAATTACATTTCGTTACTGTATAATTTACCAACACTTTTATATTTATTGGTAAATTTAGCACACAATCGTATTGTTAGTAAATGTTTGAAAAGGTAATATGTCAATAAATTGTATAAATATTTTTTTTGTCATATTACCAATCAATATATACTTCATTAGTAATAATATCAACAAAAGGTGTGCATTAGTAATATTTCATTTGGTAAAAATCCATTGATAGTAGATTTGGCTTCATTTTTCCTGTCGTATTTACCAACTAAAATACTTAGTCAACAAGAATTTAATTGATAATCTGTTAGAATTTTGTTGTTAAATTTTAAAATATAATTCAGTTCAAAATATATCGATAATTTATTATTAAAATACTAACCAACTTAATTTGTTAGTGATATCTGTTGGCTATCTTGTTTTTTTTTTTTTAGTGTTCGAAGTAAATATCCTCACATACTGACCATATATCGTATAGACAACTCCTCTTTTTTACGTGGAGAGTATATCTATCTCAAAGTCTTACCAAAATCTTGTAAAAAGTATTAACTATAATCATAAATTACATTATTTAACTTTTTATTATTTATTTATCATTTTTGTCCAAACATTTATTTTCTGAAAAGAAATAACTTTTGCTTTTCTCATTGACGTCGGCACATCGTATGAATCTGACCAGTCTAAAAAGACATGATCAAATCCATATCAGGCAGGTCGGTTATCATACTAGAAAAATATACGAGTATTCTCTTGATCTATGTCCAAAATTCAGAGACAAACTTATATTATATTAAGGTCTTATTATTCTTTTAAACTTATTTTTTAAATGACTTTTTACCTATTTTCAACCTATATGGCACTAGTTTGAAAAAAAATTAATCAGCATTCGATCTCAAGATAGTGCCACGAAAGTAAAAAAAAAAAAAATTATTAATAAAATAAATTTAGAATGATAATAGGACCTTAATATAGTATAAGTGTGTCTCTAAAATTCCGGACATATGTTTGAGGGGGATATTTGACATTATCCATAATATATTAACTATAAAGGAGATTAAAGTAGTTCGTAATTGGTTATCTACTGAATTATAAATTAATTGATTTAGTAAAGTATGTAGCTCTTATTTTAAATGTATTTTCATTTTAATATTTATTTTTTAAGTGAAAAAATATAATAATCTGATTTACTCTATTGGTTAAAAGTACAAAGAATCTGATGAACATGGTCAGATTTACGAATTAATATATAGTACTCTACTCACTTTAATTAACTGTGTTTTTTTATCTATTACAAGTTTCAAAAAATAAAGCAGAATCTTAAATTTTGTGATATGAATTAAGAGATATATAAAATGTATTAAAATATTTATAATTTTGTGATATTAAATATATCATGTATAAAAGATATTTTTGTGAAAATAGATTATATTGGAAAATGAACAAAAACTTTAAGTGGTGGGAGTAGAAAATAGTATTCTAGGACAACTATAATAGACTAATTACACTCAATATCTATAGTTTTATTTGCTATAAAGATAACGATTTTATTTATGAATTTACAAAAAGGTAAATATATACGCATTCTCTATTTATATATTTAGAATTTTTTCAAAACTTCATTTATCTATTTCGCTAACCAATATACAAATTTGATATTTTATTATAGCTTTTTCATAAATCATATAAAATTAATAAGGATAAGCATATATAAAATTCTAAATTTATATAATGAAGAATTGAATTACACAATTCATGACTATATACAAATAAGACAAATAGCTAATTTAGGCGAAACTATAGTTGCCAATTAGAATTTCACTAAACAATAATTATAACATTTAGGCCCTGTTTCGTCATAGATTTCTCAAGTAATATTTGGGGGGAAATTTGACAAATATTGTTTGTTCATACAATTTGTCATAATTTGGCAAATATTTTTGACAAATATCCCAATTTTCAAATACTAATATTTCATAGTATATGAATCAAATCTCATTATTTGGGATCTTTTAAAAATTAAAAATTTACACTAAACTTTTATCTTTTACAAAAATACCCCCTGTAGTAATTGTTTGTGTTGTATTACATAATTTTTTACGTAAACACCAAAATAGTGATGAAATATTTAGTGAATATGAAAGTGATGAAATGGGGTTATTGATAAAAATAATGAACAATTGGCTCAGGGTAATAAAGTTGTGTGTTTTGTCTACTTCACTGTGTATGGAATGATACTTGTTTGACTCACTCCAAAACTATCACAATTCTCATGGATACTACTTGTTATTTGTTGCAACGAAGATTCAATTGACTTAATACAAACTTATGGTTAGTTGTTATAGTTTTTTAAATTTATGTTATATTTTTATAAAAAAATAAAATATATTTTCCAAATACTATGGCTAAACACAAAGAGAAATTTCACACAAATTTTCACTCATATCTAATTATTTTCTATCCGTGTTAAATCTCATTTACTTAATAAAAAATCATTAAAAAATATATTATTCTATTTAAAAATTTGTTTTATCTAAGAATAATTTTAGAAGAAGCCGTATACTAGTTATATAAATTCATCTTAATTTCTTGTTTAGCTAAATAAGAGAAAATTCAAATGATATTTTTCTAATAATATTAAATAGGTGCGGTGATATGACACATGGGGATAACTAGCCCTGTGTACCTCTCTATATAATATGAACTTTCTCAGAAGGATGAATAAGAATATTGTGAGCAAATCTTCTTTCATTTGTAATTCAAAAATTATTACTCCTTCTTTACTTTTCCAATTTAATTATATTTATATGCAACTCCATATATATTATAAGCCATAGATTCCATGGAAACCAAAGTTATTTCTAGCGGAATCAACCACTCTACTCTTCCTCAAAGTTACATCCGACCCGAATCCGATAGACCACGTCTATCGGAAGTGGTCGATTGTGAAAATGTTCCAATAATTGACTTAAGTTGCGGAGATCAAGCTCAAATAATTCGTCAAATTGGAGAAGCTTGTCAAACTTATGGTTTCTTTCAGGTTCTTATCGTTGGATTCATGAATTAATAAATATTTTTCGATTATTAACGATAAAAATAATAATCGACTTTACTACTTTTTAGGTAATTAATCATGGTGTACCAAAGGAAGTTGTAGAGAAAATGCTAGGGGTAGCTGGGGAATTTTTCAATTTACCAGTAGAAGAGAAACTAAAATTATATTCAGATGATCCTTCAAAGACCATGAGATTATCAACAAGTTTTAATGTTAAAAAGGAGACAGTTCATAATTGGAGAGATTATCTCAGACTTCATTGTTATCCTCTAGAGAAGTATGCTCCTGAATGGCCTTCTAATCCATCATCTTTCAGGTAAACACCATTAATTAACTGTTTAACTACTTTCTTTATGTTAATATACATTGCTATCTGAGTCATACTTCAATTATTATTATCATTATATACGTCAACCACTTTGTCTGTATAGTAATGCATGGATTGGAAGTAACCTCAAATAATATATCGTATGAGATGTTGTCAAGTATCTAAGTTGTTTACGCGTATAAGAGAAATACGAGGCTCAAACTGAGAAGTGTTGCATCCTTTAAAATAAGTGCATGTACATCACATATATTAAAAAATAGAACATGTGTCAGATGCGTGTCAGATGTTTGTCAATATTATAGAATGTAAATATCCTCAATAAAATTTCGTTAAAGAACTACCTAATATATATATATATATATAAAAATAAATAGTTCTTAATTAGGTAATAATTTATTTCTTTCTAAGAAGAGTCAACTCATTCAAAATATATATTTATAAAAACATAAAAATAAAAAAAGAAGAAGATGATTCTCTAATAATTAGAACTACCTAATCTACCTAGCTAACCTTTCAATTGATTTTTCTAGAATGCATGTTCCCTTTTAATGTCCCAACCATTTTTAATTTCTTGACCTTTTCTTTTCCTCCTTCTTTCATATTTCAACTTTGTGTTTAAGAAGTATTCCCTCAATTTTGTATTAATTAAACTTGTAAAATATTATATATTTATTAATAAAAATATTTTAATCTAGATTTTTAAAAAAATTCAATTTATACTATAAGAAAACTTAAAATTTAATTAATATAAAATAGAGTTTAATATTAAATTTGATTTTGGTCACCTATATTTCCCACAAGTATGTTCAAATATTGGATGACGATTTTTTTCATAGATGTGGCCTTGACCTAGTCAATAATTTTGTTGCGATTCCTCAACTTCCGATAACAAAAAATATAATAGCCACATAAATTAGAGTAACCATAAGGAAGAAAAATGTAGAATTTTGATTTTTGGAAAAAAAAATAAAGTTTAATGTCAGAGATTGACAGAAATAAGCATGTGAGGCGAGGCCATATTTGACTATTTCAAGATGTCATAGTAATCCTATTTTTCTTTTTCAAAAATAAAATGTTGTCTCAAGATGTAGTACCATATAGAATATATTAATTAACTTATTATATATTACGTCATGGATGACAAATTTGATGACGCCATCATAGTGCCTATATTTGTCCATTAATCGACACATAAGCAATGAGTGCGTCATCCTAGTGATGACGTCAATACCGTTACGTAAGCCGACAAAAGTGATAGGTGATGGGTGGCCTTAACTCATGATTCGGGTCGACTCAAAATCGGATTTCTTTATTAGAATAATTTAGAATAATTTTTATTTATTAATTACATCAATATTTAATATTTATTTTATATCACAAATTTAAAAAATTATTATACCTTACTAATATATTATGTTTAAGTAAAAAATGTTGCATAAATATGAAGAAATAGTATTAATTGCCTTTCTTTTTTTGGCAAGCTCTACTGTTTCTTTTTTTCCTTCCTATTTTTTTTTTTTTGGTTTAAAGCAAGTACTGTTTCTATTTGCTACACAAAAAGTACTTTTAACCTCTTTAAATATTCACTCGCTCGCTTTTTATCGATCCAATTATATGTTAATTATTATATTTTGATACGAATTTTTCTTTTATTATAAAAAGAGATACATAATAACCTTAAATCAAATAATTTGTTAATAACTTTAAACGATAATAAATAAATATATTAATAAAAAATGCTTAAATATTTATCGACATTAGTTAAATATCGTTAAGTTTAATATCGTAAAGCCTTTAAATACATATTTGTCCTCTGAAATTTTTTGATATAGCAAATACATAATTTCCTTTAAAATTAAATTCATTTTAATCCATCCCAGCCCATAAATGACTTATACTGCTTTTGACAATTTCAGACCCATCATTTTCGTTCTTGTCGTACAATTTCCCCAGTTCTTTTCATTCCCAAGTGTCAATATCCAAAATTTTATGATTGGACTAATATATAGTTATATTGCATAAATTTATCAAATTTCCATATTATAAGGCTTGAATCTAGACTTTTGAATGTGGGCATAGATATTTTATACCTTCTATCTACCTCTTGCTCAAAAAGTAAATAAAAGAGTGCTCAATAAAGAAATTATATAAGTTTTTTTAATTGAAATTTGTAGATCTTTTCTTTAAAGTGAAGAATAGTCGAGAAACGAATTAATTTTCTAGTGTAACATGTTGCGCTATAATTAAGCCGAACAAGGACAAACAACATTAAATAAACAAGATAAATATAATATTATTAGTTTTATGTACCCCCATAACAAAGTGTCTCGACCCTTGAATGTGTACCCAAAAAGTAACAGTGCCCTTTGACAATCTCGAATGTTGAAAAATACAATTAACACAGCAAATGACCATATTACCCTTGGTTACGAAGCAAACATGTCGGGGAAAACCTGCTTCTAGACTTCTCTATATAGGTTATTCGTCTAACAATTATTGTCCAATAAACAAGTAGTTTATGCTCTCTCCGTTTCATTTTAGATATCATCTTTTGAATTTGAAGAGTCAAATTAGTTTACGTTTGATCGTAAAATTTTCATAGATCTTTTAAACATGTTAAATTATCAATTATTATGACTCATAGTACTTTTTACGTAGTTTACAAATATATAAATTTCATTCCAAAAAATTAAAGATTTTATGCGCAAATTTTTAATTAAAATTAAACTCAAAACGTATAGATGTCATAAATATTGGAACAAATTGTTTATTTTTACTCATTATAGACTCGTAGCGATATTTTACATAAGTATTTAATTTTTCTGTTTGTATACTAATGAGTAATGATGACAATTAAGTTATATTTTAAACAAAAAAAATGAAGGTGGGTAAGCAATGAGGATCTGTAACGTGAAAGATAAGAATATGCTGATTTTGTTGAGTTTCATGGCTAAAAAAACGCGTTTTTTCAGGATTAATTTAGCAAATGAAAGTGACTTGCAACATAAATTCAAATGGCATAACGTAAGCCAAGCCAATGAATAATGGGGCTTTTAGTTCAATTATAGAGCATTTGATAAAATAATAAAAAGTGAGTGGAGATGTTGAATTAGAAAGCCAGTAGTGCCTTTTTTGGATCCCAACTGATTACGCCCAAAACACTCTCACTAGATTAGGGTACATAATAAAATGCATTAATATTCGAAGAATTAATGTAAATAGTCGTTGTTACAGGGAAATCGTGAGCAGATATTGCAGGGAAATTCGTCAACTCGGATTTAGATTAGAAGAAGCCATAGCAGAAAGCCTGGGGTTAGATAAAGAGTGTATAAAAGATGTATTGGGTGAACAAGGACAACATATGGCTATCAATTATTATCCTCCTTGTCCACAACCAGAACTTACTTATGGGCTTCCGGCCCATACTGATCCAAATTCACTTACAATTCTTCTTCAAGACTTGCAAGTTGCGGGTCTTCAAGTTCTTAAAGATGGCAAATGGTTAGCTGTAAAACCTCAACCTGACGCCTTTGTCATTAATCTTGGGGATCAATTGCAGGTAAACCACAACTCCTTCAAATCGTTATAAGTTAATAATAATAATCTTTATGCAACTCATTGGAGATATTAGGTAGTCGTTGGATTATTGTATGAAATTCGAATCTAATAGAAAATTGTGATTGTGCAGGCAGTAAGTAACGGTAAGTACAGAAGTGTATGGCATCGAGCTATTGTGAATTCAGATCAAGCTAGGATGTCAGTGGCTTCGTTTCTATGTCCGTGTGATAGCGCGAAAATCAGTGCACCAAAGCTGCTGACAGAAGATGGATCTCCAGTGATTTATCAAGACTTTACGTATGCTGAGTATTACAACAAGTTCTGGAGCAGGAATTTGGACCAGCAACATTGTTTGGAACTTTTCAAGAACTAAGTCGTTTGGTTCATAGGGATGTCCCGGAAGTAAGTTTAGAATTAAATTTATACTTTGTTTGGTTGAGGGTGAGATAAATCTAGACGTTCAATCAAACAGAATATAAATTTAATCTCAAACTTAATCCTGAATATCCCATCCAATGCCAATATAATTTAGTCAGCAAACCAAATGACGCGAAATCATAAGTAGTACCACTTTCAGTACTTAATTTTTTTTTTTAGATTCGAGTTATAGTTCTGGGGTGGGAATTAAACTAGGTTGAAATAAGAAAAATGGAGACACCAATTACCTTGTTGATTTACCCAAATTACATGACTGCTCCAATGTTTTGTTACTGTCAAGTAGTGTTAGCAATTGGGCTGGAGAAATGGACTACGTTGGAATAATAATAATTTGTAGCAGTAATTTCATTGTTTACTGTATTTACTTCACTGTATGAGTTATTGAAGGCTATGATAATATATTAAAACATCGATGTTCGTGTGGGGTCATGTTTACTCATCTTAGTTTTGTGAGGCCATCTTCACAATTTTGGTGTTAAATTCCCTCTACTTTTCTATATCCTGCTTCTTCATTCTATTTGTTAAACAAATTAAGAAGATCCTGGAAAGTACCATATTAATAAAACTTGCCACTAGAGAGATTTATATATTTTAAATGGTGCATGTGATTTCGTGATTTCTATGCAAAATTAGATTTTTATGTATATGTTATCTATATTGACACGCTTCTTGTTAATAGTACATTTGGTTATGTGTTACGATTATTTACCTTGATAACTAGGAATCATAATCCACTCAATATATTTTTTTCTGTTTTTTAGTGGTGCACTTATGTTCAAGAAATTGTTGATCCATTTAGGCGCCTCTGTAGGGGTGAGCATTCGTTAATTCGATTTCGGTTTTTTTTTCTTTATTTTTTCGATTTTTGATTCTTGTACAATGTGTACCGAACACCAAATCAAAAATATTTCTGTTCGATTTGATTTTTATTATTTCGGTTCGGTTTTGTTATTTTGATTTTTTTAATAGGCCTGTTTAGTGGGCTTTTTAAAATTTATAAATTTTTTATAGTAAAAATTTAAGGAATCTCATAGTATAATTCAATAATTACACTCTGTCCCGATAAATTTAGTATTTACTAAAATTTCCTTAAAATTGTTGTGCCGTGATACTTTAGACTGTAGTGATACATGGTAAATGATACATGGTAACTTAAAAAGTGTTAAGAATAAAACGGGGAAAAAACGAAACAATTAAACTTGTTAACAAAAACATCTTAATTTACGGTAACAGATCATTAATCAGCATTAATTCAGCACGTAATTGGTGTGATACATATCTAATACATGTATCAGTGCATCGACTAAACACTATACACACTGATTCTATATGTATCATCAAGCACAGTTGATGGCGCAGTTATTAAACTTATTGAATGATACATTATAACAATTTTCAAAACCTCATGATACATAGAAAATATTATGATACACAACAAATTCATATATCAATGCATCGTCTTAAACACTATACACACTAATTCAAAATGTATCAGCAATCACACTTGATGGCGCAGTTATTGAAATTAATCACTGATACATGA